GCCAGCATTACCCACAGTCGCTAATTCATCCCTTGAATTAGGACTATGGACCTATTGGCCCTACTGATACGCCCACGTGATACTTTTCTTCCCTAAAGGGAAGTTGTAGGGCTCTCAGCCCTTACACTAATGTAGAAAAGGTCTACCTTTTATTCTATATTGATTTTGTAGTCCTACCTGCCTAAATAGACCAGTTATAAGGAAAACAAGAATAATTATATATATAAGCTTTATAGACTTGATTATTTATATTTTTATAAATTCTAACATTCTATAAATAGATTAGATTTTTTACTTTACTTAAATACTATTTTTAGTCTAAAATATCTATTTTTTGATTTTTATAAAGCTTTTAAATATTAATTTTAGTATTTTCTTATATATTTTAAATAGTTTACTCTACTATTACTTAACTTATCAATCTTTATATATATAAGCTTTACAGACTTTAATGTTTCTAAGGGATTTAAAATTTTATAAATAGATTAGATTTTTTTACTATAGTTAAATACTATTTTTAGTCAAGAATTTCTATTTTTTGATTTTTATAGATTTTTTAAATATAAATTTTAATATTTTTTTATATAAATAGTTTATTCTCCTTTTTATATAGCTTATTAATCTTTAACTAATACTTCTTACTATTTAAAAAAACTCTACTTAATCTTTTTATAGTCTATTACTTTTATTTATATACTTATTTATAACTTTATCTATTTTTATTTTTATTTTTTTATAGTGTTTTAATATTATAGAACTCTATTATAGTCTATATTACTAGAATAGTCAAATTCTTTATAGACTAGTATACTCTATATATACTACTACTATTAGTATCTACTAGATTACTTTTAATATATAGTTCTAGACTATTCTCTAGATCTATATATTTTTAAAATATACTTTAATTAATAAGTATTCTTTCTATTCTTTTTCTACTAATCTATAATTAATTCATCTTAATTCTTAGTTATATCTTTATAGCTACTATATAATCTCTTAATCTCTAATTATCTTATCTTATGGATTAAATAGACTATAAAAAATATTTACTCTTAATCTAATTCCTAAATTCTTTTTAACTATTTAGATCCTTATTAATAATATAGTCTATTAGCTATCTATTATCTAAAGAAATAATTCTGTTTATTTATATAAAAGATCTCTATAATATTAGAAATAACTACAAGAACCTATATAGAATATACTATACAACGTAATCAACGGTTGGACGGCCCACACGGTTGGGCGGCCCATCTGGTAATACTATATAAAAGACTATTTTCAAACACAAGTTATCTTAACTATTATAAGTCTAGAAGGCTTAATAATATATAAATAGATTATAAAATATAAAAATAATTATTTAATACTTTTCAAGAATTTATATAAATAGAAATAGTATCTTATTATATTATAATATATGTATTTTATATAAGATTCTGGATATATTGATATAATTCATATAAGAAAAATTCTTTAAAAAAAAAAAATATATACTATTTTTTATATTGTCTATTATTTATACATGAAGTTAGAACAAATTAGCTTCAGTATTGGTTGAGATATAATAGATTCAAATAAGCATCTCTTATATGGATAACCAGATGGGCCGCCCAACCGTGTGGGCTATCCAACCGTTGAAAATGTTATCTACTATTCCTATTAATAATCTATTAAATTATATAATCTTAACTATATAGATATATTATATTTCTTCTATATAATTCTATACTAATTAAATAAATATATCTATTATTTATCTATAGATTCTTCTCTATTTATAAAGTAATATATGAAACATAATATAATTCTATCTATAGTCTATATACTATTCTCTCTTCTTTAAAATATTTATCTTTACCAGAATTTCATGTGGTGGTCTCGGTTATGCCGAATTCTGCCTTCTGTATCCGCCTTCGGGTATTATTTTGACATAGTCATCTTCCATCTTCTATCTTCTGTTATCGTTAATCATATTATTATAATAAATCCTGAATCATTATCATTGAATCATAATATATAGTAGCATGTCCTGTCTTATGATAATCTAGTGTCTTCTAATACTATGGAAATAGTTGTCTATAGTGTCTTTTAAGATGTTTGCTTATTATTTATTATTACTGGGAAATCTGTATACCAGTCATCATCTTCCTGTTCTGTATGTCTCGGGGTCCTGATTGTATCAATACTACATACTGTCTTCCTTTCATCTTTCTTATTTATTATTAAGTTACTGGATTCTGTTACTGATATTTATTATTCTATACTATTCAACTTTTACTATAATATTAATATTATTAACTATTTATTCTTTGACTCATCTATTAATATCTTTCTTATTTATATATCTTCTGTTATTCATATGGACTATATTCTGAATATTATCTAAACTAGTATATTAAATTATTAAATTCTATAAAAAACCCTTAGACTATAACTATCAAGACTATATAGATTATAATATTCTTACTTACATATTTTATATTACTTTAGTTATACTTATTCTGGCTTTATTTAAATACTTTATTTATTCTTCTTTTTAGAATCTTAATAAGTCTTTCTTATATAAAGCTCTTTTATTATTTATTAAATAGATAAAATATCTATTATCTACTAGCTTCTATATCTAGTAGTAGATAGAATCTTTATTACTTCTAGAGAGTTTTATTAAACTAGTGTATTTCTTAGGATATATTTATTCTAGATCTTCTATATAGTCATCTATCTTATTGTCTTGTGTTATTACTCCTGTAGATATACTAAGATCTATTAGCTTAGATATAGATCTATCAGTTCTAAAATTAACTAAATTGACTATTCTAAAATCTACTGAATTAACTACTCTAATAGTCTCTGTACTAAGTTCTATAATACAATACATAGTCAAAAGTCTCGGGACACCCGCCTTCCGCATTAAAATACGCCTTCCTTCAAAACTCACTTACTCTACCCTTTCTTCCTATATACAAAAGCCCTTTGGTGTTGAGATTCTATAGTCTTAGTACTTTGTATAATAGTCCTTAGCTTTATGAATAGTTATAATATACTATAGTATTAAAAGAATAAGATTATCTAATATTATTTATAGTATACTATTCTAATATTTATATAAAGCTTTATTAAAGATCTTTTTATTTTCTTCTTTATATTTATTAAGCTAGAGACTTAAATAATACTTATAAAAAGCTCTTTTTAAGAGTCTCTAGATATACTTAATTAAATTTAAATTAAGTAAATATAGAGACTAATCTATAATTATCTTATATAATTTAAATTAGTTTTTAACCTTATTTCTATAATAAATTAATATATTATCTTATTAAAATATTATTCTAGATTTATAAATTAATTATAGATTATTTTGAAGTATAAGAATATTATATATAGTTATTATTATATATAGTTATTATAAAATATATCTACATTATATTTCATAATCATAAGCTTTATATAGCTACTAATCTATATTCTAGTCTAAATATTTCATAATATATTTTATAATAATATAATATATAAACTAATTTATATCTATAATCTTATTTAAAATATATATCTAGTATCTTTTAAAGTATCTTATTTAACTAAATATTCATCTAAAAAAATTATATTATTTTAAGTTAGTTTTTTAATCTATTATCTATAAAATTCATACTATATTTAGTATCTTTTCTTTATAAGAATATTCTCTTTTTAGTCCTCTATTTATATACTTTATAGAGATAAAGAATATATCTAATTATAGATTTAGAGATCTTAATATCTATATTTATATATATTATAGAAACCAAGACTTTTCAGCTCATTTTTAGTAATTGATATTAGAATATTAATAATATTTTCAGAATAACTACTGCAAATACTAAAGTTACCGCTATCTTAAAGTTGTACCTTCCCAAAATATTACCTATATTGAATTACTTTATTAGTCTAATAAATTAACTAAGAGACTGTGTTTCTTTTTATACTAAAGTATTTTGTCCTTTGTAGCAAAGGAAGACCCTCCTGACCATAGCAATTCTGGATGGACTAGGAAAGATAGCAAGGCGAAATCGGGCAGCAAAATTGTCCTTGAACGAATCGACTGACCGGGAAATCCAGTCCTTTAACGCGATCAAGGACCTGCTACCAATGTTGACCATCGCAAGGAGGTCACTATTGGTGAAGACGATTTATGGATCAATGATGGTTGCTATTTGTAACTATTTGCCTACGGCGCCCACATGGCGAGGCAAGGGCGGAGCCGAGCCGTCGCCCGGCAGAACGAGGACGGGCGACAAGTATCCAGTTGAAAATACTAAGAATTAATATATAGCCTTTGTGGTATGGTTGTAAAGCTCCATGGAGGTCAAGGGCGGGGAGGATTTTGAGGATTTATATGGGGGCCGCCGATTCGGTGCCGCGCCGGTTCGGTGTCCGATTACATTAGTATTGCAGAGTTACCTGTGTGAGAAGCCCACAGTAGCGAGGGTGAAATTCCACACGCAATTATATCAATTCCACTGTCACCCAGACTTACTCCGTAGTGGTCAATGCAATGAACAATGACATCATATGGAAAAGTAGCCACTTCCTACTTGCTCCGATATGAAGTAATTCTCAGAAGAGTGTACTCGCAATGACATCATGATCAACAACTCTAGGAGTTCAGACTAGCAGCTAGCAGCCACACACACCTAATATTTCCAGGTTTAGATGGGGAGTGGCGCGCCTCCATACCACTCACAGCATCTTCATCATGGTGAGAGAATGATTCAATAACCTTACACAGTAATGGTAGCGACCAAATATTCAATCATCATAGTGCATCCTTATGTGGTACCTGGCCTCTTATTGTGTAGTCTACGTCATTCATTATAGCAGATAGCACTACATAAATATGTGCCGGCCGCCGGCATGAATTTCAACTATTTGAACCGCACATTGCACCACTTGAACTCATTCTACTACAAGTTTGCCTTTGATCCAAAATAAACACCTCATTCTAGTCATATTACTTACATTACTGCTGCAATCTCCATGTCTAACATTATGAATCCTATTGATGACCCATCATACAACATCAATGCTACTGAGCAATCCTTCGGTACCGACAATATGGAGCCCGGCCACGGTGCCGGTTCCTGGAGACATGTGGGTGCTGGTCACAGCCCATACAGCAAGAATTCTCAACCCATGACCACGGCTGGATCCCAGTCGCTCAATCTTGGTGACGATTTTCACCATATGGGGGATGATAACAATAAATTCAATGGTCTTGGCACCACCACTGCACAGCCAGCGGGCCGGGAGGTGCCGGACCCAAGCTTTGAATCGCCCGCTGCAACCTTGGATACCGGTCTCGCCCCGTACAGCAACAACTCTCATTCCACGGGCACGGTTAATTTTCAGCCGGGTAAATTCGATGGCGATAATCACTACGTGCTGGGCAATGGTCTCCGGAAAGATACACCAGGCGAATCGGCGCGACACAGTGCTGTCAGTTCATCGAATGCTACTAACAGTGGAACCACCCAACCAGCTCCCATGGATACTGCTATTACATCAAGCCCTCATCTAGAACATACACCTGAATCCACCCATACCCCAGATGTTTGGATGAGTCGTGGGAGCACCCAGACGGCTCAATACAATAAGATACCCTCGGAAGAGCTCGGCAGGGGACGTCAAACTTCAGATCGACTATCACCATCGAAAGAGCATGACTTCGGGCACACCTCAGAGCGAGCCGATATTCCGAGCCAGGATATGAACCGTGACAGCGCCCAGGGGGTACACCACAGCATTACCCCTGATGATGGCCACACCATTTCTAGATCAGGGGCCGGCACTTCCGGTCCACGAACGTCCAGCGGTGACGCCGATTTGCAAAGGCCCAGTGAAAAGCGGGATGCAGGGAATCCACCGGCAGAGAACAAAAAAGACCGCATGGAGGGTACTCTGGACAGTGACATCAATGGAGAAAAAGTGAATGGCATCGCAGGGGTAATACCCATATCGGGCAATGCTGGCCCAACCACCACGAAGACATTCGATCCACATGCGACTGTGGATGGCGGTAACCACTACAACAAAAACAATGGGTCCTCCATCCCCAGCGGTCATCGTAACGGTGATACGAAACACAGTCAGGACAGCTGCATTCACTCTTCTGATCTCGGTAGTAGTAGCTACAACAGTAGCGGTAGTGGTCCCGTGCACAATGCGGAGGAACCTATTGACAGCCAAACCCCTGGGAAGACTAGCGCTGGCATGACATCTGAGGCAGAGGGTACTGAGCCTATCAATTATCAGAGAGCTGTGTGAGTAGGTAGTCTTTACGAAGACTTATATGATCATGAACTTTGTGCAGTACTTCGTCCTCAATGCATGGGTATTCTGAAGATCCACTTAAAGAGACAGTTAATGATAGGAAGCATGTTGAGTTTCTAAGCAGGAAACTCCTTTAACCACCAGATGGCAGTTGAAGCCCTGAAATATCGCTGAATCTACTATTGGAATTATTAGACTCTTATCATGGTGATTGCAAATATGTATCATAATGAAGTTGATTATTATGAAACTATTGAGGTTGCCTGGTAAAGGCGGCAACATACGGCAGAACTTACCAGCCTCCAGACCAAACCAATACTGGGATGTAGCGGAATCGCCGTATGGCGATATCCCGGCGTTGGTCCGGCACAATGGCCGGTGGTTTTGCCAAATGGTTCCGCCTTTGGCGGATATCTTGTGGTTCCGGCCACCTTGTTAGTTCCAGGAATAATATGAACTGATTGTTGGTCGACTTTCCTTCCTTGTGTCCTATGGGCAGCGGTTATTCCTTCCTTCCGTCCTGCTGTCAGTCTGTATTTAAGATCTTGCTTGATAGAAGGAATTAAACAGAACAACTTTGTATAGTTATAATATCCTAATATCTTGATATCTTAGTATTTAAAAAGCTTCAGAGTCAAGTATATTAACTATAAGTTAATAATCTATTCTAAATGATTATAGATTTCCCTAGATTTATTTTTAGAGTATAGAAATTACTTCTCTACGATCTATTTCTATCTACTTCTCTATCTTTAGTCTTCTTATATTCTCTTTATTACTAGACTAGATTTTTAACTATCTTTCTTATATAGAAAGAAATATAACTACTATGATATATATAACTAGACTATTAGATTATAATATTCTATAATATATTAAGAAGCTAATATATATATTAACTAGATAAAGATACAGTTTACTATAATATCTATATTATTAGAATATCTAAATTATTTAAGTTAATAGATACTATTCTCTATTGTTCTAATTAGAATATTAACTATCTAAATTACTAGTTTATTATATAATTTAATATTTAGATTATTTCTTAGTATTTCTTTACTAGTTAATCTAAAAGCTCTTAGATCTTATAATCTCAATATAATAAATAAAAATTAGCTAATTAAAGAAATTAGATTTACTAGTATATTTTTAATTATCTTAGTTTATTAATTAAGATAATTAAAATAGATAAATTAGTAATTATAATATTTAGAATAGTATTAATTAGATTATAGAACTAGTCTAGTAACTAGATATATAGTATAAAGAAAACTACTTACTATATTAATTTTTTATTAAAGATATTTTAAAAGTTAATAAACTTCTTTTTAGCTTAAAGAATACTTTATTAGAGAAAGTTATATCTTAAATATTTAATAAGAATATATTTAATTACTTAAGACTTTTTTCTATAAAAATATATATTTAATTTAGTAGTTTTAATAATATTTATATAAGTATTTAGAGTAATCTTACTAGTTAATATCTAAACTAGTACGAAGAACTAGATCTAGTAGAGATTAATATATAAGTTAAAAGTCTTTTTATTCTCTACTATAGTAGTAGAAATATAATAAATATAGGAGTTATATAAATACTAGTCTAATTAGTCTTTTATTACTAGTTGACTAACTCCTATAGATACTAGTATATAGTAGAAATTAGTAGAATATTAACTAATAATCTATAGTCTAAGAGATAGTAGTCTTAGTATATTAATTAGTAAATTTATTATTTAATATATATATATAGTCTAAAAGCTACTATAGATATATCTACTAATTAGTAATTTATATATAGTTTAACTAGTTAATAATTCTTTTAATAATTTTCTAGTCTAATTAGTATCTTAGCTCTATATAAATATAAATAGTAGCTTAATTATTAGTAAGAAGAATTACTAACTTATATTTTAGAATAGCTATAATTAATCTTATTTAGAAAATAATTATTTTATAAATAGAATATTCTAATTTCTTTTTAATAAGAATTAGAACTAGTTTAATACTAGTAAGCTTAGTAGTATATATTATATATATATCATTATAGCTAACTAGTTAGATATAATTTTTATTATATATTATTATAGTAGTTTATTATTAGTAGATTAGCTACTGTGTATAGTATATGTAGAAAGAATAGTAGAAGATAAAAAAGTATATCTATAGATAGAGACTTTTACTATAAAAAACTATTATTAGTTTAATAGTCTTTATAAATATTAATATATTTAGATCAAGCTTAAGATCTTTAACTAGTTAATATTCCAGCCAGTTAAGTAGTAATACAGCTAGATTAGTTTTTAGATTACTAGAGTGGTATTTCCTAAAATACATTTCATAAATAGATAATAAGACTCTATAGTAGAATAATAATATTATAATCTAGAAATAAATATTCTTAGTAATATATTTTATAAGAATCTATAATAGTAATACATGAAGATAGACTTTAAGAATAGTCTAAATAACAATATAAAAGATTCTAACTATCTAGTATAGAATCTTATACTAAATACTCTTAAAGTATTTTATAATATTAATAGTTATCTTTTAAAAGCTTTAGATACTCTAAATAAATTAAATAGAGTATCTAAAGAGTAACTATAAGAATATAATAATAATAATATATATAATAGAGATTAGTAGTAGATATATTCTAGATAAAGTTTATAATAAAGAAAAGTACTATAATAAACGAAATAACTTTAACTTCTAATTATATAAGTTAAGTAGTTTCTACTAGTTCTAAGTTTAAAAAGATCTTAAAATAATAGTTTAACTATTATATCTATAATAGTTAAGAGCTTATTTAACTATATACTAAAGAATATCTCTATATATAAAAAATCTTTTATTATATCAATTAAACTATATTATAAGAATAAGAATACTAAGATATATTAATATTACTAGTTCTTAGTATATTAATAAAAGTCTTATAAATAGATATAGTTTTTAAGAACTATATTCCTCTATACTAGTATATAGATATTATTTATATAGCTAATAATTAGAGTACAGTTATCTATAGAGAGTAGTTTAAGTAGATTAGTATTATAAGATAAATAAAGAATAGATAAGAATAATAAATTCTAAATAATATCTATAACTATTTTTCTCTTCTCTATAATTCTCTTTTATATAATAATAGTAGTTTACTAGTTATTAAAAAAGAAAATAATTTAGTTAATAATTTTAATTAATATATAATATTTCTATAAATTATAAATAAGATATTAATAGATAATATTATTATAAATATCTCAAATATCTACTATAAATAGACTAGCTATTAGATAGCTAGATTATTATATAGTATAGATCTATTTAAGAATAAGATATAAAGTAGAGTTATAGATTTATTTTTAGTATTTACTAATATAATATTCTAAAAGTAAGCTTAGAGTCTTTATTATATAACTTATTTAAAATATAATAATAGTCTCTAAAGTCTTATTTATAATATTAAGTAGTATAATTAGATAATAGTTCTTAGATATAATATAATTATTTTTACTAGATTTATAAATAATAATAATAGTAGAGTAGTAGAAGTACTAAGAATAGTAGTCTATATTAAGATATATATCAAAGATCTTACTGATCTTACTTAAATATTCTTTAATAAAAGAGAAAGCTTATTGATGAATTAGATTAAATAATTTATTAAAATTAAGAATTTTTCTAAGTATAGCTTATTAAATAACTTAATAAATCTTCTCTAGAATTATCTAAGATACTTTATAAAATTTAGAATATTTAAAGTTTTTAATATTAGTAAGATCTATATAGTATTAACTACTAGAAATAAGATCTACTAAAATAGCTTAATTTTAGTCTTTAGTTTCTTAATTAGTTTACTAGTTAGTACTTATAGTATAGATATAAATATTTATAAATTCTTCTATATATAGATCTAGTAGACTAATTTCTAAAATTCTTTAATAGAATATTCTCTATCTTTTATTTTCTCTTAGTAAAGCTAATACTTCTACTTAGTAGTCTATTAGTAAAATATATTATAGACTTAGCTATAGACATTATAATTTATATTATAGCTAGATTTTGTCTACTATTTCACTTATTATATTTAATACTTTAGTTTCTTTATTTTCTTAATATAGCTAAGTTATAGATAGTTTATACTTATCTTTATTAGTATAGTAGTTTTAATAGTTATAGTTAAAGTCTTAATGAAATTCTCTATTATAGTATTAATAGTAATTAGTCTAATCAGTTAAAATATAAGTACTTATAGCTATAGACTCTTAGCCAAGGCTTTCTAATAGGCTTACTAATTAATATTTAGTTAGTCCCAGTACTTTACCACAGGGGCGGGTGCAGAGCTGAAATTAAGTATAGTATAGATTAGTATATAGTTAATATCTAGCTATTAATTCTTAGATGAATTATAGCTAAGATATTTACTAAGTTATTATATAATATATATAAAATTAATTATAGTATAGATATTATTCTTTTTATATATAACTATTCTCTTAGATAGAAGTAGTTCTAAATTCTTATTAGTAGTAATATTAAGTAATTAGATAGCTATTTTATTACTATAGTTATATTCTAGTAGATTCTAAAGTAAATAATATAGATTAAAATCACTAAGAATTATATATTTCTCTAATTTCTATATTATTATAAATAATAGTTCTAGAACTAGACTCTTCTTTTCTTTATAAAGATCTTTATCTTTAGATTTAAATATAAACTTAGACTTATTAATTTTATAATAATTACTACTCTTACTAGACTAGTTTATATTATAGATATAAATATAGCTAGTAACTAGTATCTATAGTATAAGAATATAGAGAAACTAGAAGTAGTATTAATTATTTATATTTTTAGATTAATATATCTACTTATAAAGAAGTAAATATATAGTATAAGATCTATACTAGATATGAGTTTTATAACTAGATAGAAATAGTCTCCTAGAATCTAAGAATATATAATTAGTTAACTACTATAATAGTTTATCTAGAACTCTTAGATAGTAATAAGCTCTATATTCTATATTCTCTTCTTACTAAGAAGATATATTTTAATATTATTAGATTTCTAATAATTTATCTATATAATTTTAAGCTATTTATAGTAGTTATATATTATTAGTGGTCTTAGTAGAACTAGTAATATTAGAAGTAAAAATATTAAGCTTATTATTACTATTCCTATTTAGAATAGTAAATTAGTTATAGTACTAGCTATAATAGTAGTTTCTAGATTTTATAATATCTAGAATATTCTTAAAATTATATATTACAGCTACTATAGACTCTCTATTATAGTCTATATTAAAATATTACTTATAAAGAGGCTTTAACTATAGATATTAATCTCTATAATTTTTTAATTATTCATCTTATAATATTACTTTAGCTATTTATTATAGAAGATTTCTATCTTAGTAAGAATCTTTATAACTAGAATTTTTAT